CATTCTTTTGCATATGGATATCCAGTTTTCCCAATGCAATGCATCCTTTCTCCATAGTGTATTCTTGGTCCTGTTTTGAAAGATAAGTTGATTGTATATGAGTGGGGCTATTTCTGAGCTTTCTATGCTGCTCGTTGGTCTATATGTCTCTTTTCATGAGACACTCTACTCTTTGGATTACTATATTAACATAATGTATTTTGAAATCAGGAACTGTGATGTCCCCAGATTTAATTTTCTTTCTCAAAATCACTTTGGCTATTTTGGTTCTTATGTGATTTCATAGGAATAGTATGATTACTTTTATATTTCTTTGAAAAAGATGTCCTTTTCATTATTGGGGATTGGAATGCAAAAGTAGGAAGTCAACAGATACTCAGAATAACAGGCAAGTTTGGCCTTGGAATATACAACAGGGCAGGGCAAAGTCTCACAGAGTTCTGCTGAGAAGAATGCTGGTCACAGCAAACACCTAAACTATCCCAAACAATCAAAAAAAATGTAAGAAGGCAAAGTGGTTGTCTGAGGAGTCTTTACAAATAACTAAGGAAAGGAGAGAAGTGAAAAACAAAGGAGAAATGGAAAGACATACCCAACTGAATGCAGAGTTCCAGAGAATAGCAAGGAGTGATGAGATGACCTTTTTAAATGAACGCAAAGAAATAGAGAAAAACAATAGAATGAATAAGACTAGAGGTCTCTTAAAGAAAACTGAGGCAATCAACTGAACTTTTCATGCAAGGATTGGCATAATAAAGGACAGAAATGGTAAGGACTTAGCAGAAGAATAACAAATTGAGAAAAGGTGGCAAGAATACACAGAATAACTATATAAAAAGGGCATTAATGACCTGGATAACCATGATGGTGTGGTCACTCATCTAGAGCCAGGCATCATAGAGTGTGAAGGCAAGTGGGCCTTAAGAAACATTTTTTTTCAAACAGATCTAGTAGAGGTGATGGAATTTAAAATCCTAAAAGACTGCTGTGAAAGTGTTGCACTCAATATGCCAGCAAATTTGGAAAACTCAGCAGTGGTCACAGGACTGGAAAAATTCAGTTTTCATCCAAGTTCCAAAGAAGGGTAATGCCAAAGAATTTTCAAACTTCTGTACAATTGTGCTTCTTTCACATGCTAGTAAGTTTACGCTCAAAAACCTTCAAGCTAGGCTTCAGTAGTACATGAACTGAACATTTCCATATGTAGGAACTGCCTTTTGAAGAGACAGAGGAAACAGATATGAAATTACCAAAATTCGCTGAATCATGGAAAAAACAAAGGGGTTTCAGAAATCCATCTACTTCTGCTTCACTGACTATGCTAAAGTCTTTGACTGTGTGGAGCACAATAAATTGTGGAAAATTCTTAAAGTGATGGGAATACCAGATTGCCTTACCTGTTCTCTGAAAAACTTGTATGTGGGTCAAGAAGCAATCATTAGAGCCAGACATGGAATGATGGATTGTTTCAAAGTTGGGAAAGGAGTATGTCAAAGCTATGTATCATCACTCTGTTTATTTAACTTCTATGCAGAGTACATCACATGGAATGTCAGGCTAAATGAATCACAAGCTGGGATCAAGATTGTCAGTCCATGGAATAATGGACTGGTTCCAAATTGGGAAAGGAGCACATCAAGGCTGTATATTGTCACCTTACTTATTTAACTTGTATGCAGGGTACTTCATGTGAAGTGCTGAACTGGGTGGAGCACAAGCTGGAATCAAGATTTCCAGGACAAATACAAATAACTTCAGATACACAGATGAAACCACACTTATGGCAGAAAGAGAAGAAGAACTCAAGAACCTTTTGATGAACATGTATCCCAGTTTGTTTTTCCCTTTCTCAATTAAGAGTTATTTTGGTTATTTTTAACTATTAGAAACCATGAATAGAACTGCTATAAATATTCTTGTATAGTCACTGAACAATAAGGAAACAGTGAAAAAAATATGACAATTATTTTCAAGTCACTAGATGTCAGGGGAAGCTGACAATGATCACTGAGAAATGGTAAACAAAGAATTTTATTTCTGCCTAGGAGTTTTCTGTTTGACTATTTTTTAAAGAATGTCCATGTTGTGAAACAGAGAGCTGTACCACCAAAGACCCTGGTCTAGTCTCTGAGTTGAGGAGATGAATTTGAGTATCTTCATCTAAAACAGTTAGAATTCTGAGAGTAGAATATTGAAGATTATAAACCTATTCTCCTGGAAACTTCAATACTTTGGCCACCAGATGTGAAGAACCCACTCATTGGAAAAGACCCTGATGCTGGGAAAAATTGAAGGTGAGAGACGGGGACAATAGAAGATGAGATGGTTGGATGACATAACCGACTTGGACATCAGTTTGAACAAGCTCCAGGAGTTGGATTGACAGGGAAACCTAGAATGCTGCAGTCCATGGGGTTGCAAAGAGTCAGACACAATTGAGAAACTGAACTGATTGAGAGAAAGAGAGAGAGAGTGAAAAAGAGATAAGGGAGACAGAAAGAGAGAGAAAGACTAACAAAGAGAATGACAGAACTAAAGAGTAACCTGTGGTTTAATTTATAAATAATCAGAAAATTTTATTTTTATTATATGCTTCTTGTTTAATTGTAATATATAATACATTGCATATATGCATAGACTTAAGTCCTTTGAACTGTACTGCAATTAGGACACAAAATGGTATATTCTGTACCTTGGGGAAGGCTCATGAGCACTTTGAGATGAATGGGATAATGGTCCCGCAAATTTCTATTTCCCCAATTCCGTATTAACATAGATTCCCCCAATTTGCCTTTCTGAAGCTATGTTGACAAACTATGTGAAAACTATCTACATTTAAAACAGGTTTTAAATGACTTCCTCTGATATTATCATCCATTATCTTCTACAAGTCAAATCAGATTTGGTTTTCAAAGACAAAGCGTAAACTTGAATAGTTTTGCCTCTTTTGTAGGCCATTATTTTAAAAAGAAAGTTTACATATTTCTGCAGAAATGGACATTTCTCTCTTGGTGAAATGACATCAAGCTGTTAGCTTTTCCCCAAGAGGAGAGGGCTCTCTCAGTCCTGTTCTACATGCTGATTATCCTGGTGACATCTCTGGAGGTAAAGAGTGCACCATCAAAATCATGTTTAAGGTCCAAATGAATTTAATTAGGTAAGACTTATCCTTGGAGATGCACCAGTTGAATGACTCAATAATATGTGCCCTATTTCAAATGTAGAAAAGGTATTTGTGGGCCTTTTTCCTCACCTCACATGACAGACTTTTGATAATTTAAATAGTGGGCTCAAATCATAATGAAGTATGTATTATGAAATTATTCTCTAGTCTTCAGAAAACCCAAAGTTCAACAATGAAGAGAGTATTTTAAAATTGATTAAGAATTGATATGCTATTCAGATTACTTCACTATTTCATTTTGATTGGTATAAAACATTGTACAGCAAAATTTTTATTTAAACAATTTGTAAACAATTTCCAGTTTTCTCTCTAATAAAAATGTTGATTTCACATTTGTTGGTGTTTGGGACAAATCCTGCCAACAACAAATAGTTTGTGTTTCTGTTCAACAATCAAGGCTCAGAGTTTTTTGGGTGACAGGGCATTCACAATCATTTTGAAAAGCCAAGCAATTTGAAAGACAATGCTTTTCTGAATGACTGAGATAAATTGATTTCTTGCAAACATGGAAAGAGCTGACCACATGAAAACAGTACAATGCAGAGTGCTGATGAATGCATGTGGCTCTTTGTGTTCACAGAGTTGGCATCAGCTATGACAAAAAGGAGAAAATATCAGAGGCCAGAACATGGATCTGATGGCTGTCTTCTTATGCAGGTAACCCAACAATTGTGTTTGTATACAAGGTTCTGCACTAGGTTTTCTGTTTTCAAGAATATATAGGTGTTGTGAGAATTTAGACTAGTAAGAGTTTTATTTTGTGATTTTTACAATCAGCCATGTTAGAAATCTAGTTTAGTTGTGATTACTAAAATATGTGATGATTGATTCTGCTTTGTAATATTCTTTTTAGATATTTTCACCTTCCATTGCTCTGGACTAAGTTTCTTTCTCTAACATGAAGTTTTCTTACAAATTAGATTCAAGTATAACTATTTGGGGATATCTTCATGAAGAGATCTCTGTAAACCTGATGATAGTTCAATTACTATGCTCTACATTGTTTGTTACATTGCTTAAAATTAAAAGATGATGTAGCATCTGTAGACCTTGATTCAGAGGCATTTCAAAACTCAAGATGATACTGTAGCCAGCAAGATATTACTTCAGTTCCTACTTTTCTGTTCACAAGTAAGTTTAAGAATCCCTTTATGTTTGTTGGCCACTTAGATGCATTATTCTTTTAAATATCTGTTTACATTTTTGTTTACACTTTTACTTGCAAACTGCTTAGAGATAATTCTGTTTTATGTATTAAATCTATGTTTATTCCATACAATGTGAATCTTTTTCCAGTTTATTTTGTCAGTTGGTGCTATTGTATCTTTTCCTAAATCCTTAAAAGAAATCTAAAATTCTCAAATGTAACTATTTGGAATTCCAATGATTGGCTAAGAGTCTTCCTCTGCTAGAATTAAGGAAATCATCTTCCTAATAAATAGAAAGCAAAATAAAAGTAATTTACTTTACTTTTTTTTATTAAATCTTTAATCAACATTTATTTTTATATAAGGTATTAATTAAAGGTACAATTTTATCAGCTTCCAAATGGAAGGAGATTGTAACAACTCATTTGCTTAATAATGTGTTCTTTTCTCACATAGGTATTTTAATTATTTGCTGCTCTTTAAGATTTTTGAGGTGCAGGGCAATGTATTACTCAGTGTTCTATTACAGTATCTGGAATTATTGGATCATAATAAACTATAATTCTCATTGATTGAATATATGAGTGAACTATCTTAAGACTGCAGGATTCACTAATAATTATATTTACAGGTAATTTTGACCTGAACTCTGAAAATAATACAGGCAGAAGCACCTATGGAACAAAGGAACAATGTAACTGAATTTGTCCTTTTGGGGCTCACTCAAAGCATCCAGGGCCAGAAAATATTATTTGTCGTGTTCTTGTTCATCTATATTGTAACAATGGTGGGCAACCTACTTATTGTCCTGACTGTGGTGGCCAGTCCAATCCTGGATACCCCTATGTACTTCTTTCTTGGCTGCTTATCATTTATGGATGCTATTTATTCTACTACAGTCACACCAAATATGATTATAGACTTACTGTATGGAAGGAAAACCATTTCCTTCCAAGCTTGCATGATCCAGATTTTTATATGGCACTTTTTTGGTGGTGCTGACATATTCCTCCTGGTGGTCATGGCCTATGACCGCTACGTGGCCATCTGCAAACCCTTGCATTATTTGACCATCATGAATAAACGAGTATGTGTTCTGTTGCTGTTGTTGACCTGGATTGGTGGGTTTTTACATGGTGTATTTCATCCTCTCTTTGTCTACAATCTCCCCTTCTGTGGCCCCAATGTCATTGACCACTTCATATGTGACATGTACCCTTTGTTGAAACTTGCTTGCACTGACTCTCAGGTTACTGCCATTGCAGTGCTTACCAATGACGGGGCAATATGTGTGATCATCTTTTCTCTCTTACTCATCTCCTATGGGGTCATTCTGTGCTCCCTGAAGAATCTTGGTCAGGTAGGGAGGCGCAGAGCCTTGTCCACCTGTGGCTCCCAAATTACTGTGCTGGTCCTCTTCTTTGTGCCCTGCATCTTTATGTATATGAGACCTCCTTCCACCTTGTCCATTGACAAATCCTTGACTCTGTTTTACAGCATTATCACCCCTATGTTGAACCCACTCATCTATACATTGAGAAATGGTGAAATGAAAAATGCCATGAAAAAGCTCTGGACCAGAAAAAGAAAATGAGGCAGCAGGAAAATGTATCACCTATTTTCAGTGAATAATTGCTTTTAACAGGAAAATTGTGTGTAATTATTTAAGTGTATTAAATTACTACTCAGGGTTAATACCTTTGCTATAATGAAATCATTTATTATGTGAACACTTCCAATGATGATAATACACTTTTAGGAATTTTCATAATTTCATAGTTCAAAGTATATATTTTTTTTCAAATACACTTTTAAGATTGTCACACTTTCTTTTTCTTAATTTATTTTTATTAGTTGGAGGCTAATTACTCTACAATATTGTAGTGGTTTTTGCCATACATTGACATGAATCAGCCATGGATTTACATGTGTTCCCCATCCCGATCCCCCCTCCCGCCTCCCTCGCCATCTGATTCCTCTGGGTCTTCCCAGTGCACCAGCCCTGAGCACTTGTCTCATGCATCCAACCTGGGCTGATGATCTGTTTCACCCTTGATAGTATACTTGTTTCAATGCCGTTCTCTCAGAACATGCCACCCTTGCCTTCTCCCAAGGAGTCTAAAAGTCTGTTCTGTACATCTGTGTCTCTTTTTTCTGGTTTGCATATTGGGTTATCATTACTACCTCTTTAAATTCAATATATATGCATTAGTATACTGTATTGGTGCTTATCTTTCTGGCTTTCTTCACTCTGTATAATGGGCTCCAGTTTCATTCATCTCATTAGAACTGATTCAAATGAATTCTTTTTAATGACTGAGAAATAGTCCATAGTGTATATGTACCACATCTTCCTTATCCATTCGTCTGCTGATGGACATCTAGGTTGCTTCCATATCCTGGCTATTATAAACAGTGCTGCGATGAACATTGGGGTACACGTGTCTCTTTCAGATCAGGTTTTTTTGGTGTGTATGCCCAGGAGTGGGATTGCTGGGTCATATGGCAGTTCTATTTCCAGTTTTTTAAGGAATCTCCACGAAATATGTAATGAATCCTATTAGTTCTGAAAAAGATTATATTATTTGAGAGAAATTTGAGACACGTTGCACTTTGCAACTCTAAATGGCACATATGTACATATGTCTCTATAAGACTATAAATTCATATGCTATATATAAATTAAGGTATAGTTTATACTGTAGATTTTAGTTGGTGTAAGGTTTTCTCAAACTTCTCTCAAATAATATAATCTTTTTCAGAATTAATAGGATTCATTACATATTTAAGAAAAATAATATTAGTAGTATGACATAAAAATTTTGTTCACTCCTCTGCAGGAAAAGACACCCTGTATTAATTTTGAAGTATCTATCTTAGTTTTGTAATTACAATATACCTTGAATATATTATTTTTTGATATTGCTTAGCATGTCAACATTGAAGTAGAATGGTGCTTCAGAGTTATAAGTATTAAATGTAAGGAAGCCAAATTTATAAAAATAAATCAACAAAATATAAATGCAAAAATATAACCAAATCTTAATCATACTCTCAATTGCATAATCCTATATCCTCAAAAAGACCAGGTATAAGTTACATTTTCATAAAAGTGATTCATTAAATGCAAATGAAAACCACAATGAGGTACCATCTCACTCTGGTCAGAATGGCTGCTATCAAAAAGTCTATAAACAATAAATGCTGGAGAGGGTGTGGAGAAAAAGGAATCCTCTTACACTGTTGGTGGGAATGCAAACTAGTACAGCCCTATGGAGAACAGTGGGGATATTTCTTAAAAAACTGGAAATAGAACTGCCATATGACCCAGCAATCCCGCTTCTGGGCATACACACTGAGGAAACCAGAATTGAGACACGTGCACCCCAACATTCATTGCAGCACTGTTTACAATAGCCAGGACATGGAAGCAACCTAGATGTCCATTGGCAGATGAATGGATAAGAAAGCTGTGGTACATATACACCATGGAATATTACTCAGCCATTAAAAACAATGCATTTGAATCAGTTCTAATGAGGTGGATGAAACTGGAGCCTATTATACAGAATGAAGTAAGTCAGAAAGAAAACCACCTATACAGTATATTAATGCATATATATGGAATTTAGAAACATGGTAACGATCACCCTATATATGAGATAGCAAAAGAGACACAGATATAAAGAATAGACTGTTGGACTCTGTGAGAGAAGGTGAAGGTGGGATGATTTGAGAGAATAGCATTGAAACATGTATATTGCCATATGCAAAATAGATTGCCAGTCCAGGTTTGATTCATGAGACAGGGTGTTCGGGGCTGGTGCACTGGGATGACCCTGAGGGATGGGATGGGGAGGGAAGTGTGCCGGGGGTTCAGGATGGGGAACACATGTCCACCCATGACTGATTCATGTGAATGTATAGCAAAATCCACCACTTTATTGTAAAGTAATTAGCCTCCAATTAAAATAAATAAAGAAAAAGAATAAAAGTGATTCATTAATTTTTCAGATAGTTTAGGATATCTGGTAATAACTCTGCTATTTTCCAGTATTCCCATCATCATTTTTTTCTTGTTATTTTCCATAGCCTTCTAGAGATACCCAAGCTGAATCTTTCATATTTAAATTTAGCATAATCCATGAGCTTCAGACAAGAAGTACACAGCTCAAAACTAGATATTTTGGTGATACAATTTTTAAGAAAGATGCTGACAATATATGCCATTCTTATCTCTCTTATTATTAAAATGCAGGTTACTAGGATATAAAAAAGGCCAGAATATATTGATTTATTTCACAGAGACATTATTCATAAAATCCTCTTTCTCTCTGAATCAGGCTTGAAATAAATATTTGCTGTTTTTTTGTTTTGTTTCTAAGTCATGCCCAAATCTTTTGCAGCACTATGAGCTGTAGCCTGACAGTTTCCTTTATCCATGGGATTTTCCAGGCAAGAATACTGGAGTTGGTTGTCCTTTACTTATGCAAGGGATCTTTCCAACTCAGGGATTGAACCCCTGTCTCCTGCATTGATAGTTGGGTTCTTTACCACTGAGCCACCAGGGAAGCCCAAATATTTATAAATACTACTTGCCTCAAAATGATCTGAAGTGTGTGGTCAAATAAATATTATGCCTGTCTTACTTTGTCTGGCCTTATGAGGAGCTAAGGTTATGTGGTTATGTGTGATTTTCACTAGTAAATCCTGGAGAAGGAAGTGGTAACCCACTCCAGTGTTCTTGCCTGAAAAATCCCATGGTCAGAGGAGCCTGGTGGGCTACAATCATGGGTTGGCAAAACATTGGACAAGATTGAGCATGCACACACCCACACACTATTAAATCACACTTTATGAGAAACCTCATATCCTGATTTTTATCTCTGTTACATGAAGATATTTTGTATTATTTCAAAGTATTCTCAGACATAATATAATATTATTCACCAAATAACAACAAGCTTTTGGATTTCCAAAATTTATTTGTTATTCCTCCACTTTTCAATGTTGGTATAGATTGAAAATGTGTGCCCTTTTCCAGAATCATAAGTTCATTCCTTTATAATAAATTCTTTATAATGTAGTGGTATCTGAAGTAGGGCCCTTTCAGAAATGACTAGAATCATGAAGGTGGAGTCCTCATAAATGGGATTAATACATTCATAAAGAGAACTTAAGAACTCACTTGAGCCTTCCGCCATACGAGGACACAGCCGAGAGATGGCAACTTATGAACTAGATGATGGGAAAGATTGAGGGCAGGAGAAGAAGGGGACGACAGAGGATGAGATGGTTGGATGGCATCGCCGATTCAATGGACATGGGTTTAGGTGGACTCTGGGGGTTGGTGATGGACAGGGAGGCCTGGCGTGCTGGTTCATGGGGTCGCAAAGAGTTGGACACGACTGAGCGACTGAACTGAACTAACTGAAATATGAACTGGCGGGGGTGGGTGGGGGCTTCCCTAGTGTCTCAGCTGGTGAAGAATCTGCCTGCAATGCGGGAGCTGAGTTCGATCTCTGGGTTGGGAAAATCCCCTGGAGAAGGGGAAGGCTACCCACTCCAGTGTTCTGGCCTGGAGAATTCCATGGACTGTATAGGCCATAGGGTCGCAAGCAGTGGAACACAACTAAGCGACTTTCACTTTCACTATGAAGTCGGGTGGGAACCTTATCAGCCATGAAATCTGCCAGCTTCTTAATCTTGGACTTCAGAGGGTTTCCCTGGTGACTCAAATAATAAAGAATCCACCTGGCAATGCAGGTGACATGGGTTGGTCAGGAAGATCCCCTGGAGAAGGAAATGGCTTCGAACTCCAGTATTCTTGCCTGGGAAACCCCATGAACAGAGGAGTCTGGAGGGCTATACAGTCCACGCGGTCACAAAGAGTCAAACAGGGCTGAGTGACTAACTCTTCTTAGACCCCAAGCCAGAGAAAAGAAAAGAAAACGTTTATTGTTTAAATCATCCAGCCGATGGATTCTGTGAGAGTAGCCCAAATAACCAAGACAGAAAATTAGTTTTCAAAACTGTATAGTCATTTCGGGTGACAAGGTAAACATTCTTCACTTATTAATTAACACTATGTTTTTTTTAAATAATTTCCCTGAAGTCAGGAAAAGTTACCTAATTGTATTTGTGTTCTGTTTCTTGCACAATATATTGAACATAGAATTCACTGTATAGACCTTATCAATTACTTTAATTCTTCTTCTATTGATAAATTTGATTATCTCTTTCTACATGAAATATATAAACACCTAAACACACACACACACACACACAGACATATATATATATATATATATATATATATGCATATGTATACTACAAATATTACTTTGCTATGTCATTTTT